TCGAGCGGGAATCGAGCTCTTCTTATGAACAACTTTCGACTGATGAGACCAAATTTCGCGAATATTTTAGAATATTTCATCAATCGTCTGGTGTTCCCCTGCACCAACCAACAGTATTCATCATCATCATCATCATCATCATCATCATCATCATCATCATCATAACATCCTCGTTTTTTCTTTCTTTCTTTTTGTCTTAGCCTTCCCCTAGAAGATTCCTTCCAGAGCTGCTACCCGGTTTTCGTGTCGTTGGATTATGCAATAACGGTTACCTGCATCCAACCCGCAACCTAAAGTACCAGGTCCCTGTATTTCTGTTCCCCAGTGACAGGGTGGCTCAGCTACACCCTCAGGCAACGGGTTCACTTTTCGTCGCCTTGTGAGACTAGCGCGGTGAATTTGGGGAGGTGTTTTGTCCCACGGGAAGCCAATTGCAGTCAGCGAAACAATTGTCATCAGTTCACAAACGGAGCACAGGAGTCTGCAGCAATGTGAAGAAGCACGCCGCCACACAAACCGTTCAGGGCAGTTCGTTTCCTTGCCTTGAGTACAAGCAAACCGCTCGGGGCGTTTCGTTTCCTTGCCATGAGTACAAGGAAACCGTTCAGGGCGGTTCGTTTCCTTGCCTTGAGTACAAGCAGAAAAACGGACAGTGCAACGAAGCAGAGAGCGGATCGGGTCGAGGCTTCCACATTTTCTAGACAATCGGCTCGCAGATGGCGGAGTTTTGTGGGAACTGATCTGTTGTTTTAAGGTGGGGGAGGAAGTGACTTTGTTTTCCCCTGGGGCGACATTTAGCCCTGCGCCGGCGCGGATGTCCCAGAGCGTATATATCCATAGCTGGAGCTCTTGAGGCCCCCAAGCCGTACTTACATGTCTCCTTGGGGACTACAGCAGTGTGAAGTGAGCTGAACTTCACCGTGCTACAAGTGTGATGCTTACACTTGAGTAAGTGAAGCATATACATAAGAGACAAACCCGTCTTCTCGTCAGAGAGGACGTTACAAAAGGAGTATGACCGCATGGGTTCAGCTGAAAGAAGAAGTCTCTGGTCGTGAGTCTCAAGGGGTTTGCCGCCAAGATGAACTGATTTGCGGTAAACCTCCAGACGTAAAGTGACTTTGACTTTGTTGCAGTCCATCAGTGAGTGAGAGAACTGCTGTGGTCAGTTCTTTTGAGCTGTTGCTGTGAGAAGCCGGTAGCCGAGGCCGGGGACAGTTCGGGAACCCAGAGGAAGGGCAACGACCGCCGTTTGAAGTCGCTGCTAAGCAACGGCCAGTGAGGACGTGAATGGACACTAATGTGTGTGTAGATAAGAGTGAACCGAAAATTGTAGTCAAGCTTTGTATCAAAGAGTCCAATAAACGCGGTCATCAATCCAAAAACCCGTTTATAGTCAACTTGAATCGTGACGTGGTTGTGTATCTTACTGCTAACATGTCACTTTGTGCCTTAAGGAGGACTCGAACACCTAGTGTTTCGGGCACGAAGTTAGCGTCACGTCACAGGAATCGATTACATGCTTCTCTCTGTTCCTGGCAGAGCCGTTGAACCAGCTGAGATACCGTTATCTGCTAACTTTGCACCCTGAGTGACCTTGAACATGCAACAGACGGTTTTATCTACAAAGCTACGATTTGCATAGCTTGCAGCTATTTTTCAAAATTGCTCTTTGTTCCCCCTCTCTAAAACCGAATGTCGTTAAAGCGAGACCAAACGGATGAACAAGACATACGTGTAATTTCATTTGAAGAGTTATTTGTTCTTTTATTTTCATGTGGCAATAAAGCACAAAGTTACTTGTCCATATTAGAGAGGGCAAACTGTCTGCAGTTGCACGATGAAACAAGGCTAACATGTTTACAAGCCATTGTCCCTTTCAGCGTTGTCAATTACACTCAATTAGCAATGACTCGGAACTCGATCCTGGTGCCTCTCCACCTATAGGTAGCCTCGCTTTGTAAACAAAAGCTATTTCGTCTCTTCAACAATCGTAACATGAGACTCCATGTTTTGCTTTTGTTCTGTTCTTCTGTTTTTTTATTTAGCCTGTTACAACTTTATATCCCCTCCCCACTCTATTTTTTTGTCTCTTTCACACTCCTCTCATTTTAGTTTATTTTCCGTTTTTTTCTTACCCTGTTCTTTTGTTTGTGACGCAGAAATAACCCTTAATATTTTCTTTCTATCGTATCTGTTTCAGTGCTCTTATCCACGGTTTTTGTTTCACATTGATTACTCTCACACATCACGAAGCTGACGTCAAGAAATACATTTCTGTTCCGATCTGAGTACAAAACTCCTTCTGCTCCCCCCCCNTGGGCGAGTGATCAGCTCGTCGCAAGGCCTCTACCTGTAGACAAACACACAAAAACGCACACAAACATCCATGCCCTGAGTGGGATTCGAACCCACGATCTCGGCTTCCGAGCGAGCGAAGACACTGCACACCTTAGACCGCTCGGCTACCGTGACCGGCGAACGCCCACCACGGCTGGTATAAAATTCAGTGTTTATGAATGTCAGTGTTTTAATACTCTATTTCGGTGAGCCTTCCACGATTTGCCCCCCCCCCTCAACTTGTATGTCTCTTCTTTAACGAAACAAGGCCCACTCTCTACGAAAATACAGTTACGTATCTGCGAACCGAAATGAAATATTCCCACGATCTATTTGAGCTTTGAGCTTACCCTCTTTGGAGTTAGGAACTGTTTAATTTTACGCAATAATAAGCCTTTATAATATACACATCATAAAGGCTTATTACTTAAAATTAAAAGAGTGCCTAACTCGAAAAAGGTTAAACTCAAACCCTAACTTCGCCGACAAGCGGCGGTCCCTCGGTCGGTTTAGTTCGCTTGCGGACTACAGGCCACGGAGTTTTTTTTGTATTACCATTATCATACTGTTGGGGTGCCCTATGGTAGCGTAGTTGGTTGAGGCCCTATGCTACAAGCCGAAGGTTGCCGGTTCGATTCCCTATGAGGTCATTTAGTTTTTCTGTTGGACTAATCCATCCAGCCGCATTATGGCCCTCGGGTCGACTCAGCCTCTAACAGAAATGAGTACCAGGAATTTTCCTATGGGGTAAAAGGCGGCCGGCACGTGAGGCGGACAACCTCACCGCCGTCTATGAGCCGACTGTGTAGAAAATGTGGGAGCCTAGACGTCTCACAACCCTATGAGCCTCCACGGCTTCTTACAGGGATATCTTTACCATTTACCATTTTTTTTTTACCAAAATACACATTCAGTGGCGAAATAACTTTTGCACAAAGCAGAGAATGTCTGCACATAACATCGCTTCTGTATGCGTGTTAATTTATCTTAACATCCATGATATATATGTATTGGCCGTCTTGTAGTGCACTCAATCTCACATGTCACTTCACTACATGTTTCGGCATCACCGTGCTGTCCTCAGGTGCGTTATTTACGCTAAGCTATTGCATTGCTCGCCATCATGTGTCGTTCATAAAATTATTTTTAAAATGTACATTCTTCAGCAACTATAATAAAATTTGTATACACTAAAACTTGTTAAGATTTATCATCTTATACGTCTTAATTCAAACTCGCGTACTGTATGATTCTTCCACTCTTGGAGTCGTTTTTCCTATATTTTGTGTATACTGTGTCTTGTGATGTGTCCTTCCTTTTTGGCTGCGAGCGCTGTAATCTTAACATTCTCCTGTTATCAGTACGTCGTGTCACTGACGCCGGGCATCGTTGGTGTATATGTAAGCGCCATAGCTTTCATTTTTAGTTTCGAAACCGAGCCCACTTAGTACGTGTTCCACCAACTGGCCTCTTGTACCAGCCCCGGATGATCGGTGATGAGTGTGAATCCGTTAATGTAAGGCAAATTTGTAGGGGAAACCGAAGTACTCGGAGAAAACCTGCCTCAATGCCACTGAGTCCATCAGAGATCCCACCTAATCTGTGCTCGAACCCAGGCCGCCGCGATGGGAAGCCTGCTACTAACTGCCTGAGGTATGGCGCGGCCTTCAAGCACAAAGTTACGGGAGAGGATATGTTCCTTAGTGCGTGTTTTCTACGAATTTGCATGAAAGTTGACGCTGATGTCCACCACAACAAGTGTTTCTTTTTCTAGTCGCTTCAGTATATCCCCCCACTTTACTAAAAGTGTGAATTGTTATGTTTTTAGCTCTCTAAAACACATGTAATCCTACATACGTGAATTGAGACGCATCACAAAGTAGATATCACAAGTCCCACAATTTTTATTTAAAACGTTTTTGACCCCCTGAATATTTATTTTATACAGCGGAGAGGCCCGTTCAGATTCGAAGGAGAGCCGTAAGTTTCATAATCCTCAGCCCCCCGCCCCCCCCATATTTTCCTTTATCCCTGCCCCACCCTTTGTCTCCTTCCCTCGTTTCTCGGCTAAAGCGAGGGTTTAGTTACAGCTTCCTCATTCAGACTGTACAGTTGCGAACCTGGGACCGCTGTCACTCTGGACTGATAACGGCGAAACATGCAAACAAAGCATTGCCTGCTTAGCAGAAAAAATGATTTGGGGCGATTTTATCGGGGAGGTTGCGACGGGTGAGAAATGTGGCATCCACGCGGGATACAGGAAATGCATACAAAATAATGGGAAGTGTTGTTAGTGGACCAAGATACCTCCCTTTATATGGCGCCGATAACAGCGTGTGCACTTGACCTTTAAGGACCAGAATTTCTGAAGTTCTTTTGGCTGTCAGAACGAATAGTTACTGGTTCTCTGTGTATCCGCCATCTGATATTGTAAATGAGATGCAGTGTGTTTTCTTGAATGAAGGAGCCTGATTTCAAAGTAGCGTAACAGCTTCGCTCTGTGAAGGCTTTAAGGTACGAGTGAAAGGTTGAGGCTCAGTGGTTGTTTTTGTGGCGACTAGCATGCAACTTGTTACAGCGCTTGTACCTGCATAAGCAGGTTAGCTCTTTGTATCTTGAACAGCACTAATTGTTATGCCTCTGTTCTTCTGTTTTTGCAGCGTCCAGCTACGACCACCAGACGTCAGCACAGTCGGGGCAGCCACCGCCCTCTTTGTCTGCTGTCAAGGAGGAGTCCTACCATAACAACCATGAGACGCTACAGCAGGCCTTGGTCACCTCACAGCGACATCTGGAAGACATTGCCAGCAAGATCTGGTACATCTCATGATTATCCTGGTCGAAACAGTTCATTATGCTCCTGGGTCTTTGCACCGTTTGGATGTGGGCAGTGTTGACGTTTCGGAAGCGTGTTGCTTACATTTTCGGGGTTTCACCTTTAAGATGGAGGTAGCAGGTGGCTCCGAAACGTCGTAATCACTGCACATCCACTCGGTATGCAGGCCCAGCTAAAGGTAAAGCTATCCCTGTAACAGACCATGAAGGCCCATAGGCTTCTAAGACGTTGAGGTTCCCACATTTTCTAGAAAGTCGGCTCACAGACGCCGGTGAGGTCAGCCTTATGCGCCGGCCACCCTTTACCCTCAAGAAGATTCCTGGTACTCATTTCTGTTATAGGCTAAGTCGACCCCAGGCCCATAGTGCGGCTGGAGGGATTATTAGGTCAATTTAAAAATCAGTGACAACATCAGATATACTCGTAAGTGCCTGAGCGAATTACACTACAACCCCCCCCTTCAGGTCCTGGAAAAGAGTCAGTGTCACTGTGGAAGTTCTGTTCATTATGAAACACCTCCCCCCCCCCCACCCNTGCGTTCTCTGTACAGAGAGTTGAGGAAGTGAACACACACAGGGAGACCTTGCACGCCTCTTAGGTGGTTTCTTTACCGGAACAACCCAGTTCATGTAGGGGGAGTGGGTCTACTCCAAAATTCGTCGAGAGAATATAATGCCGGTTCATACATTGTCGATTTATAGTTTATTTAACGACCCTAGGGCCGTCCCATAACCCTGACAGTCGCCTGCGTCCCACCGCGGCGGCTCTGTTCGATCCCAGGTCAAATGGGATTTGTAGTGTACAAAGTGTCACTGGGGCAGGTGTTCCCCAGGCACTTCGGTTTCCCCAGCCAATTCTCATTCCACCGACTGACCCACGTTCGCTCGTTGTCCTATCGCCGACACTACATAAACTCGCTACTGACAGCGTCGGCAACTGGGACCGCCTGGCGCGTGCCAGAGGAGGACGCAGGGACAGAACATGGAAGATTACAGTCGAAGTGTCTGTGTTCTAGCGGGAGCATTGCTGTCACAGCCGTGTCCACCTCCCAGGGCTCTAGTGCCACTTCCACGACGACGACGACGACAACTTCGACGTCGAACTCGACGCCGGACACGGAAACGAAACCGCCCTACTCCTACGTCGCCCTGATATCTATGGCCATAGAGAACAGCCCCCACAAGAGGGCAACACTGTCAGAGATCTACGCCTACATCACGACCAATTTCCCGTACTTCGAGAAGAAGAAGAAGGGTTGGCAGAACTCGATCCGCCACAACCTCTCTCTCAACAAGTGCTTCATCAAGATACCGCGAGAGGGCGGCGGTGCCAAGGGAAACTACTGGAAGCTAGGTAAGTTTTTAGCATAAGAAGGAATAACGACGTTTCGTCTGCAAATTACACCCAGAAGATGCGAAGGAGGCGAGAGAGAGTTCAATATTCAATATGGCGTATATCCGTGGACGCCACCCGGGGAACAGCTACTCAATTTAATTACAGACTTTTGTTAAACTCATTTAAGAAGATGTTTACTGATCGCCCTAGACATTTATGATAGAAAGAATTTTTTAAACTGTTCAGTTTTGGTATTAATATTTTGCGTATTTTTTCAATTTTACAAAAAGTACTGGATAGGGAGAAAGGCTCTTGGCCCTTCTGCCCCCTGCCGACGCCCATGGATATGCCAACTCGCGCTGATGTGCTTCGTTGGTACGTGTTCCTGTCATTACTCACGAATGGGTGTCATAATTCTGCAGGCTACGGGCCTGTACCTACACCGGAAAGGGCAAGTGTATGTGCGCTTCGCAACCAGTATGCTCCATCTGCTCTGGGAACGTAGACTGTTACGTCATCATTGGGAAATACTTCTGGTACGCACGCGGCGGTGGGAATTTGTAACATACACAAGAATTTTCTTCCGTAAGGTTGGCTGCGCAAGGTATGACGCACCCTGGTCCCTACAGAGGTTGGAATTTGTGAACGTTTTAGTAAGAACACAGTTTGTAGCGTCAGTGCTACTATTATTTTTTGTATTGCTAGTGGGGTGGGACCAAGTCCCTTGTACTGCGGCCACTTCTGGCCTATTTACCAGCCCCAGATGATAGGTGAGGGTGATTGTGGAGCAGTTGGTGGAATGAAGATTGGCAGGGGAAATCGAAGTACTCGGAGAAAACCTTCCCAGCGCCACTTTGTCCACCACAAATCTCACTTGACCAGACCCGGGATCGAACCCGGTCCGCCGCGGCCTCAGTGATACTATATAGCCCACGAAATCGCAACTTCAAAGAAGAGAAATACATTGCCACCGGCTGATACTACCGCAGGAAAGCACAGTATTTGTAAACTTGCTGTCTGGATCTTGCCCATACTTCGCCATCCCTAGCGGTTGCAGAGGAAAGAGAACACACGCGTCCTGACATCTGCTGCAGAAGCTCTTCATATTTCCCACAGGATGTTAAATATTGTTTACAGAATCTGCCGATTGGACCCAGATGGACTCCCCCCACCCCCACGATGCGAATTAAAAAAATACCTTTTAAAGCTTTTAAAAATTTTAAACTTTAAAATCTTTTCTACAGCACTGGTGTATGTGCACTAGATGTTTCGACCAACATTGATGATGATCAGGTCTCCCAAAATTTGCTAACTAAACTGCTTCCGTCAGTAGCTTCAGTTTTGGGGGGTATGCCCTAGTTTGTGCTACCATGTGTTCTGTGGTGAGGTGTGTGTGTTTTCTGTTGTCGCCTCCTCAGTTGATTTGAGGCAGCCGCGGCGGTGACTGCTGGGCTGCCTCAGGAGGTGTTTCCGTTGGAGCCACCCGACATGTCTGGCAGAGTGATGCAGTTTGAAGTTCTGTGTTCCTCAGATCCGGAATGCGGCGACATGTTTGAAAACGGCAACTACAGACGTCGGCGCCGCATGAAGCGTCAGTACCACTCGACGGCCCCCTACCCCAAGGCATTGTACGGAGACGCAGCAGGGTTCAGGTCCCCAGCCCGTCACCATCACCAGCTACCCCTAGGGACACACAACTTGTTCGGGGCGCCGACAGGTTACCCTCCAGCGTACTCACGCTACGACCCCAGGTGAGTTCACGTGACCGTTTTGGGCGGTCATTGGGTTTGGTGATGTGGACACAGCGTGAGACTTGAGCCTCTTGGCCTCATTTCGCGGATGTGACAATGACAGGCATGGGCGATATGACACGGTGACCACACGGACGGAATGCTGACGTCCTGGCGCTGTTGATTTGATGTCAGCAGTAAACTGAAAGCACTCCACGCCCAGAGAACTGGATTTCGTATTTGAAGTTTGTTTATCCGTATTTTACGCAGGAAAAGAAAGAAGAATTCGAATGAAGTGGAGATTACGTACTTCAGTCTGTGAAAAGTTGTAACTAACTTCGTGGAGAGAGCCCTTTTGAGAAGCCACCAGTTGCGCAGCCGCTCAAGAACTTCCCAGTATTTTATGGAACCCAAAGGTTCATTACCGTGTTCACAAGAGCCCCTCTGCACTGGTTCATATCCTGGGTATACCACTCCATCCTGTCCCTTAAGACCCATTTTAATATTATCCATCCACTTAGCTTTCTTACACTTCTTGCACAAGTAAGCAAGTACCTCGGTGTATCTGTGCAGCTCCACCGCAAGCCCGTCAGTTCGCTTATCAGAGTTTCAGTGTCTGTCAGGCGGTCCGTATCAAATCGAATTGTTCAGGCGGCCTTCAGATTTGGAGATTGGACTTAGAAGCGCGCGCGCGGGTAGAAACGTGTCAGAGTTTTACGTCCGTCTGGCCACGCGTCTTGGTCTGTAGAACCAATGATGTTTCAATTGTGTGTGACGGAAGATTTGTACACTTTGTTTCAGCACCGCTTGGTCGCTCCAGCCACCTTACCCTCCGTGCCAGGCCCGCGGCGGCCCCAACCCTACGGCACACACACAGGCATTCAACCCCTACAGCCAGCTTCAGTCACAGGTAACATAGAGAGACACGCGGCCGTTGCCTGAGATCGGGAGTGTAGGGTGTGTTGGGTCCTTGTTACAGTTCGTCGCCGGCGGCCCGGGTCCGATCCCTGGTGAGGCCATGTGGGATTCGTGGTTTACAAAGTGGCACTGGGGCAGGTTCTCTTCGAGTAGTTCGGTTTCCCCTCCCAGTTCTCATTCCACCGACTACACCAAACTCACACCAACCGGGGTTGGTACAGTAGACCAACAGTGGCCGCAGTGCCAAGCGAACTCAGTCTCGCCCCAATAATAATAATAATAATAATAAGAAGAAGAACAATAATAATTCAATTCAGTTCGTGTTTATTTACGTGCAAACTTGACGGCACAGAGGCCAATAACAAAGTTGGCAGGAGTACCCAGAAATTCAGATATAACTAAAAGCAAAATACAGATAAGACAGTCTATATAACGGCATTAAATTAATAATAATTCCAAGAAAAATTAAAGTTAGCATTAACAGGTGAGAAAAATAAAATAAGTACATTTCGAATGGTTATTCCATTATCTGGTGAGAAACGACAATACACATACATACACACACAAAAGTTAATAACAATAATAACCCAATTCTCATTTATTCGTGTGGCAGCTCAACATTCTAATTCAGTTCATGTGTATTTACGTATAATAATAATAATAATAATAATGATAATGATAATAGTAATAATAAAGTTATTACAGTATATTTGAAACTGATGCTTTCTGTTGAGACTGTAGTGTGACCGTGCATGTTTCAGCTGCAGCCAGTTCAGTCCATGCAGATCTCGGCCGCCATGAATGGCTACAGCCAGACGCTGAGTACCGCCGGTCTAGGTGAGCAACCCCCACATCCGCTCTCGCTCGAGTGTCCCGTGTAGTGACAAGCAGGAACTGAAGGCAACACAACTGATATCGTAGCTTTGTGTGTACTTCGTTCAAAACGTCCGTGAAATTGGCGTCATTATCAGACAGTGGAGTAGCTCTTGCCTTCAGTGCTGGCAACCAAAATTGCTCTGCTGGAGATCTTGTTGAACGCACAGCACTTTTCTTTCGTAAGGTTGCCTGTCCCACGTGTGACCTACACTCAGAGATGTTTTAGGCAGTACCTCTTGTTGCATGACATTCCAGATTCATAACATTAATTTCGAACCGGTTGAAGCTTGTAATTTTGTAGCATTTTACATTTGTACTGACGCAAAATTTGTTTCATGGCAAAACAGGCGCTACTACGGGTCCTGGGTTTGGAGCTGGGTTCCCTCCCTGCAGTCGACGTCACGACGCTGCTACCGTTGCCGCCGTCGCTGCTGCCGATGCCATGCGTTATCCCTATTGGCCAGAGGGTAAGCATTGGTATAATGTTGAAGTCAACAGTGTGTACCTTTTGAATGGTCCGTGGTGGATGTTTTGTGGTTCCGCGAATTGCTACGAATTCAGTCGGGGTTTTGTGGGGGAGATCAGAGAGCTCTTGCAGAGTTCTTTTAACTTTGTTGGCCGATTCACGCATCTGAGCTTCACGGCGACAGGTCTGCCGCTTGCCGCGAGGCCCATACAAATTTTGCCAGTGAACCAACATACCTGATAGCCGATAACGTTTGGAATGGAGAGAAGTAATTAACTTGTGGACCGCTTGACGGCATTATGTTTCACGGAGAGCACTGCAGTTCATGCGTTGGAGTTTGTGATTTTTCAGCAGTAGGCAGCATTTATCGCTGATCACAGTGACCGCGCGGTCTGAGGTGTGAACTGTCTTCGCTCGTATGAACGCTGGAATCGTTGGTTCGAATTCCACTCAAGGCACGGATGTCTGTGCGTTTTTTGCTGTTTGTGTTGTCCTGCGTGTAGGTAGCACAGTAGGACTCTTAATAGACGAGAAATAAAAACAAGCGCCGAGTGCTTACTGAGAAGTTAGATGAGATAGGGGCCAGACGCGAACGTACACACAGAAAATCACTGAAACTGCTAGCTCAGGAGACTGGAGTGCAGAAGTCTAGTGCAAGAAGGGCAACACAACTGCTGAAGCTTCGACCCTACAAGACAACAGCAGTCCACGCCTTGCACCCGGGCGACCCAGCTGGCAGGACTCATTTTTGCAATTGAGTCGCAATTGTTCTTTTCTGACGAAGTATGCTTTCACTTGCAGGGATACACAAGTACGCAAAATAATTGCTACTGGAGTTCACAGAATCCACATCTACGTGTAGAGAGGACAGCATTTTGAACACTTCTGGAACTGTTAATTGTGGCTGTTTCTTTCTGAACGTTATCAGCCAACAGGTATGCTGAGTCTGAAAAATTTGTATGCGCCTCGCCGCCGGCCACGGTACTGTTGCTTTGGTGAAAGAAGGGTGTTCGGCCGGTGATGTTGAAGTGTGGCGGGAGATGGGCCCGCGCCGGCCGAGAACATGCGGGGAAGCCGTTCCATATTTTGAACTGCTTGAGTCGGTGGAGTAGGCTTGGCGGGAAAGGGGCCCGCGCAGGCCGTCATAGCTACTTCCCCTTTGTCCCCTGAGTGACCGGCAGTGAAGCAGCCCCTACGCTGCTGCAAGAGACGAAGCAGCTATTGAAAAGCAAGCTTCCTGTGGCCGAGGTCTGGAATTTTAACAATCCCAAAGAAAGCGTCGCGCGAAATGTAACATTCATGTGCTGGAGTTTTTCGAAATATCGAAGAAACGCAGCGAATTTCTACCGACGTGCAGCATATTTCAAGTTCTGGCAGCGGCGACAGAGGAATGTGACGCCGTGTAGTTTACGCTGTGATAAATCTCTTTACAGCGTCGGATGAATGTCGAATAATGAAAAAAAAAGTATTTCAATGCAAGTGGTCGCTGCCTAATCAAAGCAATATCGCGTGATTTGCCAGCAAGGACATTAGGAGAACCACGACAGGTGTGCCAGCTGATGTTGTAACCGAGTATCTCCCGAATACGGATCAGGGGGTTACGTTTTTAGCCAAATTGATTGACTCATTACGTCGAAGTGTCGGTAAAATTTTACCACACTACACGGCGTCTCATCCTAGGAGATAGTATTCATCTTATTGATGAAAGACGGTAGCTTACAGCTGTGCTGTGTTTACCCCAGACACTCCATAGAGAGCATGCTTATTGAGAGCATTATAACTCTGATTAATATGTTCATTTATTTGATAACCGCTCCAGAAACTTATGATAAATTATATAGGTTTCCTTAGTTTTGTTACCTCGGGTGCAGCAGTTGTTTGATGGCCATGATCTCCGGCTAGACTGTGATGTGCGACTGTTTCAGTTGTCGTGAACGACGGGACGAGCTCCGCCACGCCGGCTGCTGGAAGCTTCAGCGGGGTCGATTTCAGCATCACCGGCCCGTCACGGCCGAAATGCTTCATGTGAACGCTAACTGCAGTTCCAAGTGGCCAGCGCTGCTACACGTTGCCCGTGTTAAGGATTGGTTACATCAATTTTAATATATTATAAACAGAAACTTGCTTATTTAAATCAAATATGTAATCGGTGATTATATAATAAAATTTATTATTTTTAGTTAAGAGGGAGAGGGAAGGTGAATGTATGTACGTACGTACGTACGTGCATTTATACACGTACGGACTCATGTACGTGCGCACTTATTTACCTACGCACTTATGTACGGACGCACTTATACACGCACGGACTCATGTGCTTGCGCACTTATTTACGTATGCACTTATGTACGCGCGCACTTTTGTACGGACGCATTTAAGTACGCACGCACTTATGTACATACGCTCTTATACACGCACGCAACTATGTACGCGCACACTTTTATACGGACGCATTTATGTACGCGCGCACTTTTATACGGACGTATTTTTGTACGGACACATTTATGTACGCGCGCACTTTTGTACGGACGCATTTATGTACGCGTTCAATTTTATACGGACGTATTTTTATACGCGCGCACTTTTGTACGGACGTATTTTTGTACGCGCGCACTTTTATACGGACGCATTTTTGTACGCGCGCACTTTTGTACGGACGCATATAAGTACGTACGTATGTACGCGCGCAATTTTGTACGGACGCATTTATGTACGCGCGCACTTATGTACGGACGTACTTTTGTACGGACGTATTTTTGTACGCGCGCACTTTTATGCGGACGTATTTTTGCACGCGCGCACTTTTATACGGACGTATTTTTGTACGCGCGCACTTTTATACGGACGCATATAAGTACGTACGTATGTACGCGCGCACTTTTGTACGGACGCATTTATCTACGCGCGCACTTTTATACGGACGTATTTTTGTACGCGCGCACTTTTGTACGGACGTACTTTTGTATGCGCGCACTTTTGTACGGACGTACTTTTGTACGGACGCATTTATCTGCGCGCGCACTTTTATACGGACGTATTTTTGTACGCGCGCACTTTTATACGGACGCATATAAGTACGTACGTATGTACGCGCGCACTTTTGTACGGACGCATTTATCTACGCGCGCACTTTTATACGGACGTATTTTTGTACGCGCGCACTTTTGTACGGACGTACTTTTGTATGCGCGCACTTTTGTACGGACGTACTTTTGTACGGACGCACTTTTGTACGGACGCATTTATCTGCGCGCGCACTTTTGTACGGACGTATTTATGTACGCGCGCACTTTTATACGGACGCATTTCTGTACATGCGCACCTTTGTATGGACGCATTTATGTACGCCGCACTTTTGTACGCGCGCACTTATTTACGGATGCATTTAAGTACGCGTGAACTTTTGCTCGGACGCATTTAAGTACGCCCGCACTTATGTACGGATGCATTTAAGTACGCACCCACTTATTTACGGACGCATTTATTTGCGGACGCACTTATACACGCACGGACTTATGTACATACGTCAAATCTTTAATCTTGCGGGTCTGCCAAGCGGATTGTATAGCGGTAAGCCGGTTGACTTGCATTCGGGAGATGCTTGGTTCGAATCTCGGCCGAGACTTAGGGTATCCTGACGGGTTTTCGTGGTTTTCTCAGTCTCTGCAAGCTGCTTTGATGACGTATCTATTAGGCCACGGCCACTTTCTTCGGCGGCTTAGAGTCTAGATACGATTAGCGCCGCGCAATGAACCACTCAAGAATTCTCTCCAGCACGTTGTCACGCAGCTGAACACGGCATCATATGGGACGTGGAGGGCCACAACCGGCTTTGAATAAAAAATGTTCCTGTTTTTAGAAGTAAGGACATTGTCTCGTAGACACGTACGGGCTGATATATCAAGCGCAGTTTTGCGGTAGCTTGCAGTTCCCTTTGGGGCTCCCCTTAATTCCCGTTTCGTCAAACGCGAAAGCATGAAAAGTGCGTTTCTGTTCTAATAAGCCTGTTCAGGTTCGAATTTTCTGGCGAATTTCAAACGAAAGCAAAATTTCGCACATGTTTGTATGAGTACCATTATAAACGAAGTCAGCATATTCACCAGCATTGATGATAAACAAAACGAAAACTCCGTGGCCTGCAGTCCGCAAGCGAACTATACCGATCGAGCGACCGCCGCTTGTCGGTAAAGTTAGTGTCAACTATAGCGGCTAGAGATGTCGCGTTGTCAGCGCAACGGATCCCCACTGCTGTTGATATCGGTTTTCTAGACCGGAGATGATGATGATAGTTATAATACGAGAGGTAATCAATTCGTGTGCCTTCTGTGAGGCCAGTCATCTTTATTCCTCAGTTAGTGGTTAAAAATTGGTCATTATGATTTTCAGAGAATTGTAATTCGCGAATTTCCCCTCCCCATTTATAACTATAATGTTCGTATCCACCCACACGTTACGTGACTTCTGCAACTGATTAAACGTTATTCTTCCTTAAATAAGTAAGAATTCATTGAAAATACTAAAAGTCGTGGTCTGCCTTGGTCCCTTGTGTTCAGGCCGATTCCGGAATGAAAGAGATTTCGTTTATTCGCGGTTTCCATATCATGACTGAAGACATGGCTCAGATGAAAATATTTCTGGGACGGACGAACACACGATGCTGGTGCGTGGCCGAAAAAAAAGAGATCCGTATTGTTGCACAAGTTCTGCATATTGTTGACTGACGAATTCCCTATGACTTAACAATGATCTCTCCCAACCCCTGTGCCAATATTTAACTCGTACTGGTCGACGTCGACACTGCGAGTGGAGGATTTATTTAAGGAGAGCTGCTACCCTCTCCCATAGTTTACTCCGTTATTTAAAAATTATATTTTATTTATATTTTATACACCTTTTTACATTTGTTTTGTTTAATTTTGTAATGTGAAAGAAAATACATATCTGTGTTAAATATCTATTAATGTACGTATGTAATCTGTGTAAATAACTATTGATGGATAAATATACTGTGAATACAAGGCCGTGTGTCTGAGTAGCATTAGGGCCATGCTTGTAAACTGCCTCTGTAAGTCATTATGACGGAAAACTTACACGACCCTTTAGTCAGTGAATTCCATCCATCGGTAATATTCCGTCCAGTAGAGTTCTCTTCTTTTGTTTTCAACGTCCGGTTTGTGATCGGAACCATTTAAACCCCTCACACTGTACCGTCTCCTGTGTAGTCGTTGGTGTACAGAAAAAGGCCTTGGTTAGTGACACTTCTGTTAAAGTAAGAGAGATCGTATTGTTGATATCGATGTATCATATCGAACGTGGAATGATTGGTGTTGTTGATTGTGATATTATTGTGCAAGTAAGATATATATTGAATAAATGATTGGCTGTCATGATACCTTGTCTGAATATTTTGAACAAAATGTTCCGACCCAGCGAATCCTCCTGACCAATGTCAAGTTGTCCCTGTGCTTAACTAATGAATCACTACGCCGTGAAGACGTATGGGGGGGGGGGGGGGGAGNCTAATAGTACAAGTTTGTGTTTTTGGACTTTATCCATCGTCTTGTCTATTTTATAAATACCGTCCTGTTTCTTTTTAAAAACAAAACGTTTTGGACACTGGATAATGTCCCCGTCCTTAGCTAAAACCTATTCAGTTGGGCCCAAGAGACAGAGCTAGCCCCCCCATCTCTGGACCGGAGATTTTGCATAATATGTTTGAGTCGCCATTACTTAGACTTAAATTTTAACTGAGGCACTGAATTTAGAGCCCTGTTTTTTACGTTGGCAGTTGTCAACATAACTCCTATGCAGATCACAAGCTTTTCTAATGTTTTAATATGTGGTTCGTTAGTCTCTTGTTTCGTGACGTCACAGACCAATAGTGTGTAGGAACAGGACGATCCTTTTTCTTTGGTATCGATCTTGTTGGGAAGGAGCAGCAAATTCTGAGGTCTCCTAACGCCTGTGGAGTTGTGGTTAGCGTGTGGTCTTCACAGAACGTGGGCCTCAACTGTGTTGGTGAGTTGACATTAATTTCAGTTTTGGGAAAACGTGTCATTGTTTTCAACAGCCTACAGGATGTTGATCAAAAACGGGCCCCTCTTATCGCTAAATGTGGAGTTTATTTACATTTACGAAACCTTCCTAACCTATCCATCCATCCTAAACCGACACTCAGTATTCTCTCTCCGGAGTTATAACAACGTGAATGTTCACTGCATACAAGATGCTCCACTTGTACTGAATTTTTTTATGAGTACAATGTTGGTCCCCCCACCCACTAGAAAAAGAACTTGTGCAGTAAAATTGTTTTTTTCTCACATTTGGAAGTTTGTTGTCTCAAATATGTGCCTCAACAAATATTATATTGGGCGTGAGGTTTTTCGTGGTTCTGGCCAAATGAACGCATTGAAATGGGACACCGCTCCTCCGTTCCCCTGTTACAAGAATTCATCGGATGTTAAGTAAATATTTTAAATTTGTATTATGAATTTTGAAGTACCGGTTACAGTGTAAATACCACTTTTTAAGTAATCACAAACAGGCCCTAAAATGTACTGTTAGTGGTTTAAAATTACGGACCTTATTATAATAATTCCTGAAGCCCAGTGAGCGAAATGCTTTCAAATGAATATACAGTTAAGTATTAATAGTACGAAGCCTTTTTCTTGAGCCATAAAGCAGTAGCAATAGCAGTTATAATTATCTCTCCATCAAATCGGACATTTACAGAACGGAGGCGCTCGTCAAATAGTATCAGATATTAAATAACAACAAACAACATAACAACGGCCCTCCCACACCATATCAGCCATTGTGTGTATAACATGTCCGTATAAACGATTACAACTGCCAACTTCCAAGTACCATCTCATGTACACCTTTTAACTGAACTTTGACTATGTAACTGGCTACTTAAGACAAACTTTTATTATAATTTATATTTATATTCACTCATATCATTTTATACCATTCATAGTACACTTGGAAGTTTAGCGCTATGACTTATATTTAACATGCAATTCAATAACGAGAAGTTTAATGTATTGGCCTGATGATGGCCTTTTGAAGGCCGAAACATGTAGCAAAAGTATCTCCTAGAGCTGCTTACACGTATTGATGTTGTGTTATGACTGTTTTCAGTAAGAAATAATAACAACCAGATTAATGTAATTGGATTGTGACTGCTTTTAATCAAATTATGTTTCCATAAACTTTTGACTCCTTAATATGAAATTTCGTGAAAATCCATTCTTGAGTTTACTTCATGCGTACAGACAGACGAATAGGGCGCTCCGTAGCGGTACGGGCCTGCAGAAGAACTACATATAGGTAAACACACACCAAGAATAGTTAAAATGGTTCTCAAATTGCAGTGCACGTCCCCATGCATGGACACACCAGCAAACACATAAAGGAAACCCAGCATCATCATAAAGTGTATGTATTAACAGTCTTCAAGTGCATGCAATCCCATCTACCCCTTCTACACGACATGTTTCGGCAGTATGCTGCCTTCTTCAGGTGTATCGATTCGTAAACCATTTCACTGCTTGCCTTTATGACGATTAACCAGTCAGTTGAATTGTAGCAGTCGCCGAGTCGGGTTGCATGGCAGTGACTACAGGAGACGCATTTGTGATACTGCCGATGGCAGTAATTGTGGAATTGTGGAATTGTGGAATTGTGGAATCGGTAAAGGGCGGCAGCGAGTGTGCAATAAATTCGCTACATCCGAGACGGCGTGAAGTTATCTGTTGCATTATACTCCCAACACGTGACAATATATTCTTTTTGCTACAAAAGCAAGTTATTTTTCCAGACCATTGCAGAAAGATTTGCAGCGTAAGTAACGCTGTTAGACATTTACTTCGGTGATGGGTTCGATTCTTGTTCGGGGCAACGACTTTCCTGATTTGGGGGTTTCCCTGGACTTTCTCATTACCTAAGGTAAATGTACGGATATTACATCAATTAGGCCAGTAAGCAATTCGGGGTTACCATAGCAACAGATTGTCGAATGTTAACATGTTGCATGAACACACGTTATGAAACAGGTGACGAACCCTAAGGTTTTGTATTACTCTGTTACGTCTGTTCTCTGTTTGTGTTGAGTGTAATACTAGATAAAAGGTTTACTGATAAATTAATTGTGCGTGTTATTCGTGGGAGATGCTTTAAACGTCAGTATCGGAGCGTCGGTCGGTAACATG